AAAAACAAAAATAACTACCAAAATATTGTTGGTTCTAAATGATAAAGTATGAACAATTCATTTAAACTTTAAATCTTTACATGATCTTTGTAACAATCATTCTTATTCCTCAACTTCAGTAGAGAGGTGATGAGAATGCCTGCACCTAAGCAAAGGAGGGAGAAGCTGGAGTACTGAAACTCAGGTGAGTTGAGGAAGGTAACACACAGGGGAGGGAATGCGTGCACGTACTTAACATATGTATGTGTGAACACACCTAACACCCCTGAGCATTATCCACTGAAGTAGAGGCAGCAACACCTGAATCACAAGGAACACATCTCGTGCCCAAATCTTGTCTTCTAATTACCAATTTCCGGTAAAAGGCGAAGGATGGCGGATTCCACCGCTGGGGGAAATACAAAATAAGTTTAGAAAATCCTGTTGTGCTGAAGGTAAGACAAGTGCCTTAAAAATGGTGCAAACATGTCAAAAGAACATAAAAGCCAACCTAAACAGGTTCCCACTGACTAAATTTGTGACGATTTGAGATTCAGTAATATTATAATCCCTCAAGTAGGAAATTATGAATCTGCACTGTTGTTAATGTTAAAATTCTGATTAGGAACAGGATATATACACAGTTTTAGATTACCTCCCTACGAAATGCCTAAGAAGGGAAAAATAGTTGCTTTACAGTGGAGCAGCACAATGTTAAACATGTGTTCAAAATGAACACCGTTAGAAATGGGGCAGATTAAACTTCACTACCTGACAGGATGAACACAGAATAGCATCTGCAATTCCTGCCAAGAAGCACAACTGGAACCTAATTGTGAAGAAACAAATCCAAATGTAGGGACAAAATTACTTGCTTATAATTTACAAAAGTGCCAATTGTCCCAAAGGTCTAAGACACACTGAGGAACTGTTCCAGAATGAAAGATATTCAAGACTACAACCCAAGGCAACACCCAATGTTCAAGTGTGACCTACTGGGACATTACCAGGGCAACATGTAGGACTTGGGTGAGGATTATAGCTACAACAAGACACCAATTTAACTTCCTAAACTCAATGGCGGTGCCATAGTCATGCAAGAGACTTTCTTCTTTTTGGAAATACAAAAAAGTATAGCTGTATCATGGCAGCAATGGGGAAAAATTTCATTCAAACAGTTTATTTATAATTTATAAAGGAAGCAAAAATTTATAACCCTTCTGTCAGTCTGAGATTATTGCAAAAGTTTTCCTTTAAAATGAAGAATCAAGTTCTTAAAGAGCTGATAAAGGAGTTTAATATATGTAACTCTAAAAAACACAATCTTAATTACGATGAACTTTGTCCAATTCCTGTGTTCACTGCACATGTACATGTTGTGGTTCTGTGTCCTTAATTCTCCCAGAATTTTTCTCATGCATGATTTTCAGAATCTCACACACACACACACACACACACACACACACTCACACACATTCCTCTCTTACAACAGTGTCACGTTCATAGGTGTTAATCAATAGAGAAAATTACAGGAATTCTATATCTGAAATGAAACAAGAATGTAGATATAACTATAAAAACAACTTCTCCCCCTTGTGGTAAAAATTGACAATACAGTCTGTTGGAGAATCTTAATAGGCACTTGGCATTATTTCTTAACAAAGTATTTTGATATAATTTCTTGCAAATCCCCTATGTTAGCCATGAAATAATACACAGTATATGCACACAATATATTTAGAGGTAGTTTTGTAGTTTTCTTTAGGTCAACACTGTCCAGATTCCATTTGGTGTTTGGTTAGTAAAAGGCTGCAGCTTTGACAGAATGAAAGAATGCCACCACAAAAGGCCAGAGGAACCAAGGTTACTGACAGTATAGAATAACATCCTAGGTAGGCAAACAGGGGAGGCCTCAAGGGCATCTGCCTATTTAAGATTATAGGGACACTGGAAAAGTTTCCCACCTCTCAGGATGTAATCTCAAAATTTTGAAAGTCCAGCACTGGAAATTAATTCCTTTGAATTGATATTTACCCACTACTCATTGAGTTTTTTAATGTAAAGATACACAGGAAGGGACATTTGCTTCATTTAAGACTGTCAATGGTGAAAACAAAGGAAGACATTCATCTGAGCTGTAAGTGAAATCTAACTTTTTCATTCCACGTTCCCACTACCACTCTTATCCTCCATATTTCTTCCTATTAAGTCACCAGGCACTGATAATTCTATGTTTTACTGACCTTTCACTGATTATAAAGTAATTTAAGTGATTTTTGAAAGTAAACTTAATTTGTTTTCAGACTTATAAATTAAAAGCGGCTCCGTTGGATACCGTCTCTTAAACACAGTAATATAAATATTAGTATCTTGGCTAAAATGAATTATTGACAATTTTAATACATGTTGCACAGTACATATTAATATAGAAAAATACATGTTATCAGCAGCATAATGTTGACCATGTTCTAATCCATTCCACCTGCTCAAATATTAGTGCAAATAATTATATATTTGTAATGCATCACTGCTGTCTAGCATAAATCTGTGCCTTCTGAATAAATGCCTTTCCTCAGAGATTGTTTGCTATTTGGAGTATGATATATTCCTATTTAAATTGGCTTTGTATGGTGAGGCAGAACGCAACCTTCTAAACCACTTAGAAAACAAGCAAGTGTATTTAATTACTTTCTTCCAACACGCCCAAATAGATATTCAATCTTAAGAACTGAAGTTTACTGGTACCTATTAAATAAAATTGATAAAATATATAGGGCCTTAGTTTACAAATATAAATTTTGTTAAGCCCAGGGTTATCAACCTAATTGATCCAATTCATAAATTAAAATTCTTATTCTCTATTGTATAAGTTTTCTCTCAAACACTTTACAGGTTGTTTCCCCATGAAATTTGCAAAGAGAAATGACTGATGAGTGCTAGGAATAAAAGGTGATAGTTAAGGCAATTTTTGACTTGTAATTCTGATTATATAAAAATGACCTCAAATTGGTAATATACTATTTTTTGCCTTACATTTTAAATGTAGTATTAGCCACTTAAAAAATACTAATGCACTAAACAGCTAACAGAATTAGCAAGCTTATGACATTTAAAGTAGTCTTTTTTTAATGTGTTAATGATTTCCTCATACCTTATAAAATAGCATTACCATCTTTTCCCATGGTATAAAATACTTGGACTCTTTCTAGTGTGAAAATTATTAAGAAAAAGTATCATAATTTTATAAAACTTACTAAGGAGAACTTTGTGATGGACATATTTCTACTAGGTACAAACTTAAAATTAAAATTCCCTGTCTACTTACATAATTTTAAAACTAAGTCAAACAAAGTATGAAAACACATCGAACACATAAAACAAAGTAAAGAAACTATTTAATGTTACATAAAGAAAATAAGATATGGAATGTCAGAGTGAATGAGAAACACTAAGATTTTAGACCTTGGCTTTTTACCAGCTATACACCTTGACAAGTCTACTTTCCTGTTTGTGCCTTGGATTTTCATCTATCAAATGGAAATAATGGAACCCAAGTCCTAGGAATTATCTGCTTTGAAATCAAATAATGCATGTAAAGGATTTAGCATAGTGCATGGGACTTAAGCCAACCAAATGTAGCTATAATTATCTTTATTAGGCACTAACATTTTTTAAATTGCTGACTATGTCTACTTCACGTACAGTTATTTTAACAACACGGACTGCTCTTTTCTTCCAAAGTACACACTGTATCACAGTGTAAGCCTTCTCAAGCAGAGACAAGTTGTACAGAAGCGGAATATATTTAAAATAATGGGATGCAAGCATAGACTGCTTGGTATGTCAAACTCTCCATCGGAAGTCAGGAAAAGTCAGTATGGTTCTGGAAAACACCTCAGACTTCTAAGAAACTAATAAGCAATATGTGGCAGAGTACTTTTTGCATTAAAAACATGTTAATCTCCCAGGTGTGAGCCTTTTAATCATCAAAACATTAAGCTGAGTGTTCTTGTTGTCTCACCACGCACAGTTCACGAATGATTTAGCCACGAAATGATAAACATGACCACTTAAAGGATTTTGTGGCATTTCAGGAACCAATATCGCTTTAGCTGGATACTTATAAATATTTACCATCGCAGATGAGAAAGAGCCATTTTAAGGAACCAATAAATTCTCCACTTGGAATCATTCTATTGCCGATAAGTTATTTCACTCTGAGCTAGAAGGATTCAGTATTCAGAAGGTGAAATATTTAGAAGTGAAAGGAAAGAAAATGGCCTAATATTTAACATAAATTAACCTGCCTAAAATTTTAATTTAACCTACTTTAAATTTACCTACTTTAGCAGATCTTTTTTTAAATAACAAAGGAGATCCTAAATACTTGCAGTCATGATGGTCCACCTCAAAATGAGATCAAAGATTGTCTTGGAATAGACAGATGATCATCCAGAAGTTAACAATTCTTCATAAGGACTCTTCATTGACTCTGGCTACTTGTTCTTTGTAGTAGCTTAACTTATAGAGGTCAGACTTTCTTCTTAAACTAGTGTTCTGCATTTCACATAACACACGGCGTTTTAGAAAAACAATCTGTTGTGTTTAGAGCATATTTTTGATTTCAATAGATTTCTTAAATACTGTGTATAATTCACGAGGAAACGCGGAATATTGCAAAAAAGTTCCTCTAATTTACGTGTTGGTAAAAGTTATTAAGTTCCATTATCTCTACTTAAAATTTCACCATGTGCATATTAAAAAAAAATTCTACTAATTGATGAACTTTTTTTGAGTTATAAATTTTGGGCCACATTTTGGTATGGCACATATGAAAATACTTTAATATCAGAATACAAAAAATGTATATTGCTTCACACATCTTTTTTTCTTGTTAAACAAGACTTTTTAGGTTAAATTTCTAATCTTGGCTATACAGTCAGTTCTTTTAGGCTAAACAAATAAAGTGAAACCTATACTATAAATAAAAAAAGAGTATCTCAAAATTATAAATAAAAATTTGTAAAATTCACTATGGATGTCCTTAAAATATACAAAAAATTAAAAAAAACTGCAGGGAACTTGTTTATTGAGCATTAATGTTAACCCCTCTAAATTATGTATTCATTTATGAGTTTGGCTGCTGTCCTGTCAATGGACATGATAGAAAATACTGCACAGAACTCAAGCACGGGAGAAATAATTAACAAAATATTTAAGCAACAAGTATATGCTTTACATTTAAAAAATTAATCCAAACAAAATAATTTGAAGCGCTTCTCTGATTTGGAAGTTTTAAGTGTCATCTCACATTTTATTTGAGTTTTTTGTTTTGTTTTTTGTTTTTTTACAAATTGACACTGTACAAAGAGTTCAAATGGCAGTAAAACTACTGCTTTAAAACTGTTGGCTTTAAGTAACAGAGGTATAATTTGAATTCACATAAGAGCTTTCTAACATGGCAATAGTACAAGCACGTGACTTTTTCGTGCATCCAAAACCTGTTTCTGGCTTTCCCTTGGCTAAGAATACAAACCTGGAAAGCCTTCTAAAGCTGCCACAGTGCCCTAAAATGCTTTGACAAAAGTTGGCATACTTCATTTCCCTAGCATTCCTTGATAACACTGGGCTAAAAAGAAAGTGAAAAAATTCAGTTAATGGTGATTTAAACAGTTGTTAGTGCTGGACGTGGAAGTTTTGGTAAAACTGATAACCATTTAGAATCAGGTTCTGAGAAAAAGAGAAGTTTTCCCAAATTAGGCCAAAAGGCCTGCATTTAAAAAAAAGTTGTCGAGAATAAAGTGAACATTAAAAAGTTCGTCTGGTTCCTAGAACAGTATGAGCAACACAATGAAGCGGAAACACTATATTTAATTTAGAATGTATTCTTAAGGAGCATATTTATAAGTTTTATAAAGTAATGGCTTTTCTAAATTTTAATTTCATGTTTAAAACTTTGTAAGTAATTTACTATGTCACCATATTAAGCCAATTCAATTAGCCATAATCAAGTAGGAATAACTTTAGAAATGCCTTGAAAAACGGATAATGAAAGAAATTACAGATCTGAAAGTAACCAGTCTTTGCGAAGCTTATGTCCAAACTTCGCATATATAATGTCACCTGTCAATTCCCAGTTCCTCAGAGTAGACTAGCGCAGGTTTAGCCATCACGTTTTACTCAAGTTTAGCAAAAAGATAAAAATCTTAAAGAATTGCATTGTTCCTTAACATTGACTCCTCATATGCACTACTTAGACTGTCCCTCATTTCTTTACTCCCCTTATTAAAATATTAAAGTAATGAATAAATACGGTCCTTTAGTTAAGGTCTTCTACCTTACCTTAAGTGAAATATAAAATAAGGTAGTTTTATTAATTTATTACTAGAATTGGCTTATAATCTCCTTACCAAATAAGAAATGGCAAGCTTTATGTTTTACCCAGAAAGCAGATGTATTCTGATTCACTCCTGATGTCTGCATAAAATATTTCATCATTTTAATTTAGTTTGTAACATTTTCTTGGAATTGTATTTCAGAAAAAATTCTAATCAACAAAACTACAGAAATTATACTTGTTAACCTCTACAGGAGTCAACATATTCCTTAGAAAAACCTGCAATAATCTGATTAACATTTACCTGTACTGAAAAGGTCATTAAAAATTGATGCATAATAAATGTAGTTTTGTTGTATTTTACCTATTAATGCAAATGGGATGGTAAAATTTCCAGACGGAATATGTTAAAGAACTAGAACCAGAACACTGGTAAAATTTCACCAACATTTTCCAGAATGAAAAACAGTGACATGTAGTTTTACAGAATTTGAAATGTATAAATTCAAGAATGGAATTAAAATTCAACTTAGCAGGAAAAAGTAAATACAGCTAGTGGCGTCCAATTTTCAAATAAAACCTCAAGGGTTAAGTATGGCTGCAGTTTTCTTTCAAACAGTCATTTTTCCATAAAATCTTGGCTGTGTCATAAGGAATCTCCTGTGCTTTCTATCAACCGAGACCTGCTGCTGAAATATAACACATTTCCTTTGTCAATTTAACCTCAGCTGAAGTGTCGAGCAAGGCGGGCAGATCTATAGTCAGCACGAAGTTGTACGAAGGAGTGAAGTATATTCTTGTCCAGATTAGCAAGTTGTTCTCCTGAGCAGACTTGCTTTAAATTATCTGGGGCAACTACAAGAAGGTTGCAAAGTGCATGCAGAGTATCAAAAAGATGTAATACCATTGGAATCTGAAAGGAGAGAAGAAGAAAAACAAAACAATGAAACAAAATTAACTTCCCATTTTATAATTATTTTTGCAAATTTGTCTTACATACTGCCAGTTAGGAGTTTGTACTATGGAAGAAGTTCAATATATTAAACTTTTTGAAAGCTGAAGAATAAACTTCAGAGATTTCAGTAGTTACAAAAATTCTATAATCTTTTGAAAAGACTCATATTGCACCAATTTTCTCAAAACTCTCTATTTTGGGAGACTAGAACTAGTTATCATTAATTTAAGCCTCCCATGAAATATGATTTCAGAGAGACATACATGAAGAAAGAATATTACTACCCTAATGTGTGACATACACAGCATTAGCTATGGCTATCAATTAGGCCATTCATAGACTGTGCGACTAAATATATAACCTTGTCTAAAAGAAAGCACAAGGAAAAAATGTGTTAATATTGAAAAAATATGATGGAAGCGGTTTTTCAGGCAAGATGTTATTAGACACATCTCATCACAGTTAAAAGTTATAGACATTTTAATAATAATTACAAGTCAATACAGACTTTTAATGGTCTGACATTTTATTTTTAAGTTTGCTATTTGTATATACATACCTTGAAGTCTTTGGCACACTTCCTATATTCAGCTACATCACAAATAGCTAACATGCCACCCATACAACTGTAGGAATATTGTTGAAGATGCTCATAAATAAGACGATGAAAACGTACTCCAAGTTCCATCAAAACTGTATCCACATTTTTCCCATCCATGGAATTTTTTATCTTCTCCACTTGCTTTCTTACATAAGCGCAGACTTTTACACAGGCCTATAAAAGTTTTTCTACACTTATTATGTGATATGTGTTATCAGTTTAGCTAAGGACAAAATATATATCTTTTCTCATTAATCTCTAAATATAAAAGAAAAATTTTAGGACTTAGCAAGATATACTGGTGAAAATATTAAAAGTATTAACAAAGCAGATACCCTGATTAGCAAAATAAAGAGTCTTACTTACATTAGTGCACTGAATTAAAACATTGTTTTCATCTTCTGGCTTAAAATCTGTTTTCTTTTGCTCTGCAGCCAGGATATGCTTCATTTGTCCAATCATACAATTTAATGTCCTAGAAAAATGAGAATACAGTATATTTGATTCATTTAATTTATTCAGTATTTACTTTTATTTTCATTTAAACTAAATTAAAATTTAATTTAATATCCCTGTAAAACAATCTTGCCATTTTTAAACTTCAGGTTTTGGAAAACTGTAGGTTTTGATATCAAAAGCTCATGGCTCTTTAGTTCAAGCCAAATTCTTTGGTCAGTACTGAGAAATCTTAAGGACCTCAAAGTCTGTCATTAACTTACTTCCTTTATAACTAAGGATTTCCAAAGGCACATCTAGGCAGAGAGAATGTTTAGAAAGGTGGGAAGATAGTGGGCTTAAGAAGAACGGACAAGAGCTGGGGATTTAGCTCAGTGGCTCCACCGCTTGGCTCGCAAGTGCAAGGTCACGAGTTCGATCGCTGGTACAAAAAAAGAAGAAGAAAAATGGACAAGATTTGGAAAAGTGGGTGCAAGAAATATGAATCACAAGTCTGAGGACAATAAGGAAAATGAAGTGTTACTAAAGATCCAGGTGAGAAACAAGGGCATGGATCTGTAATGGTACATATATGTGTTATGCATGTTCTCTAATAGCAAGCAACCACTTCAATTATGGCAATAAGACAGATCATACTAGTCCAGAATTTATAGTCTCTAACACAGTCATGGTTGATGGCAATGGATTTTAGGGTAAATACAATGTAATAATTGAAGAGATGGTCCATGTGACTAAGCGATTTAAGCACAAGAATGAATAAAGTAAAGTTAGGAAAAGGACAAAGATTGATATGCTAAAGAGATTAAAGGAGAGAGGTCTTGCTGAGGTCAGAAAATAGGTGTGTTCTGAATTGAAAAAAATAAGAGGTTGTAGAAACTGAGTAGGATATTCAGGTTCAAGGTTTTATTACCAATGATATCACGGTACAGTGGAGCATAGGAAGAGATAGTTAAGTGGAGATTATTAAGAAAGTGAATAGCTTACTCATAGGCATGGAAGGAACCCGACTTAAAGTTAAAAGAAAAATGGTGAGACAGATGCCAAAATCCTCAATAAATGTAGGGCCCTGACATAAAAGACTGAGATGACAGAAACAAGAAAGGAAAGAGATAAACTAAGGGGTTCTGGCCTAAAGGACAGATCCATCAGCAGCAGTGCAAGTAAATGGTAAGCCTATGCTCAAAGTCACACTAAAAGAGACATCCATAGACCCCTGCACCTTTAAGGTGATAACTAATGCAAAGACTTTCAGAATATGGCTTGTTTGGGAAGATGAAAAAATTACCTCATTTATAAGATATCGAGAAAAAATATATTTATTGCACTTTTGAAAGCTAAAATATCTATCTACACCTTTCCCACCCACCCCCATCCCAAAAGTGATTTTCAGATTCTGAGGCAAAGCAAGAAAAAAATAAATGGATGTGAGGGATTTAGATTAGGAAAATACATACTTCTTGGAAGTAAATACTTACATTATATATAATGTATACATAAACATTATAATGATATTAAATGAAGTTCTACTTATGTATTACATCATCTAGTCCTGACTAAAAAGCAGAAGAAACTGGATAAACAGAAGAGATGGGTAAACAAACAACCTACTAAAATTAAATGATGAAGAAAATCCAAATAGATTAGTAATGAGAAAGGAGGTTAAATTCATAATCAAAAACCTCCCCAAAAGAAAAGCACAGGACTACGTGGTTTCACTGGTGAATACTATCAAGCATTTGAAGAATTAACACCAAGGCTTCTTGAATTCTTCCAAAAAATGGGAAAGGGGGAACACTTCCAAACTTATTTCATGAAGCCAGTTTTGCCATGATTCCAAAGCAGAAAGTGATACTACAGGAAAAGAAAATTATGGGCCAATATCCCTGATGAATTTAAATGTTAAAACAAACAGCAAACAGAATTCAACATCACTTTAAAAGGATCACATATCACGACCAAACAAGATTTATGCCTGTGATGCAAGGGTATCTCAACGTATGCAAACCAGTAGTATGATAAACCAAATTAACAGAATGAAAGATAAATATCATATAATTATTAGAAGATACAGAAAAAGCATATGGCAAAATTCAATATCCTTTCATAATAAAAATTCTTAGTGAATTATATATAAAAAGAAATACACCTCAACATAGGCCGTATTATAAGTCCATAGCTAACATAATTTTCTCCAAAATAAGAAACAAGACAAGAATGCCCACTGTTAGTCACTTCTATTCACCATTAGCAGTGAAAGTCCAGCCAGAGCAATTAAGCGAGAAAAAGTAATAAAAATCATATAAACTAGAAAGAGAGAGGTAAAGTTGTCTCTGAAGATGAAATGATCTTATATAGAGGAAACTCTAACAGACTATCAAAAAACTGTTAGAACTAGTAAATTCAGTAAAGTTTCAAGACACAAAATCAACATACAAAAATCAATTCTAAACACTAGCAACATACTGTTCAAAAAAGAAATTACGAAAACAATCTCATTTCCAATAGTGTCAAAAAGAATAAAATACTTAGGAATTAACTTTACCAAGGAGGAAAAAGACTTTTACATTGAAAACTATAAAGCATTGCTGAAAAAATTTAAAGAAATAAATGGAAAGACAACCTGTTCATGAACTGGAAGAATACTATTAAAATGTCCATCTATCCAAATGAGATTCAGATTTAGTGTATATTCTCTATCAAAATTCCAATGGCATTTTTCACAGAAATGAAAAAAAAATCTAAAAATTCATATGACAATTCAAAAGATACTGAAGAGCCAAAGCATCCTTGAGCAAGAATAAGAACAAGTGGTATCACACATCCTGGCTTCACTTGCAAAAAAAACAGACACACAGACCAAGAGAACAGAACGTAAAGACCAGAAATAAATCCATACATTTACTATCAACTTATTACTGAGCAGGAGGCCAAGGACAAACAACAGAGAAAACACAGTCTTTGTTAGGTGGTGCTGCAAAAATTGGTAGTCCACAGAGAGACTAAAACTGGACCTTTATCTCACACCAAATATATAACATCAACTCAAAATAGATTAAAAACTTTAACATTAATTGTTGAATTGAAAACTACTAGAAGCAAACATAACTAAAAATCTTTGGACATTGGTTCTTTGGATAAGACCAAAGTAGCATGGGAAACAAAAGCAAAAATATACAAATAAGAGTGCATTAAATTAAAGAGTTACTGCTCAGAACAGAAAATAACTAAAAACATGAAGAGAGAAACTACAGAAGAATTGAAAAGTATTTGTAAACCACACATAAGGGATTAAGATCCAGAATATATAAGAAAGGCAAACTCAGTAGCAAAAAACCACAAATTTAGAAAAATGTATTTCTTAAAAGAAGACATACAGGTGGCCAACAGGTATATGAAAAGGTGTACAACATCACAAGTCATCAGGTTAATGTAAATAAAAAACAATGAGATGTCATTTCACACATGCCAGGATGGAAAATAGCCTAAAAGGATGATAAATGTTGCCTAAGACATAGAGAAAAGAAAACTCTTATTTTAAACACATTCTTTAGTAAACTAGTGTGAATAACGAATTCTATAAAACCCTGTTTCCTTCCAGTTTTATTCTTCTATTTTAATTTGTTCCCCTTTTGTTATCACAGAGAGAATAGTAGTTCTCATTCTTAGCGTGAAGATTATTTGGGAGGTGAGTTACAAGTCATTTCTCACGGTAAAGGAAACCGTGAAGGGAATGTAAATTGATATAGCCATTATGGAAAACAGTATAGAAGTTCCTCAAAAAATTAAAAATAGAACTACCATTCATTCTAGCAAACCAAGTACTGGGTACATATCCAACAGAAATGAAATTAGTATCTGGAGGTATTTGATCTTCCAGGTTCACTGTAGCATTATTTGCAATAGCCAAGATGTGCAAACAAGTTCAATGTCCAGTGAAGGATGAAAGGATAAAGAAAATGTGGTATATTTATACAATGGAATTATTATTGAGCCTTTAAAAAGAAGGAAATCCTGCCATTTGAGAACATGGATGAACCTGAAGTATACTGTACTAAGCAAAATAAGCTAAATGCAGAAAAACAAATATTACATAATCTCACTCATATGAAATGTAAAAAATAAAATTTATAGAAGCAGACAGAGTACAATGGTGGCTGCCAACAGCTGGGGGAAGTGGTACAGAAAATAGGGAAACAGGTGTTGGTTAAAGGGGACAAATTTCAGTTATGCAAGCTGAGTAAATTCTAGAAATCTAATGTATATTATAACTGATAATACTATATTTATACTTTAAGTTTGCTAAGAGGCTAGATCTCATGTATTATCAAGAGAATAATTAACTGTGGTGATGGAAATTGAGTTTTATTGTGGTAATCATTTCACAAAGTGTACATATATCAAAACATGTCATGTACCTTAAATATAAACAAATTTGGTCCAATTAGACCTTACTGAAGCTGGAAAAAACAAAAGCAAGACTACTTTTTAGGATACTTTTAAACATATTCTTTAGTAAACTGGTATGAATAATGAATTCTATAAAACCCTGTTTTTTCCAGTTTTATTCTTCTATTTTAATGTTTTCCCCTTTTGTTATCACATGCTGTGTAGAAGTTCTCGATCTCGGTGTGAAGACTACTTGGGAGGTGAGATGCAAATAATTTCTCATTACTATCATACAATTTCACAAATTAGATTCCAGGCTATCTTTTTAAACAGCTCCTTCAAAAACTTGTATTCAAGTATACTGCCTTGAATAGAACATAAAGAATTACATTTTTTAAAAAAGATGTATCTAAACTTCAGTAGCATGGGCTTTCAAGTTTGAATTTTAGCTCTACTATCATTAACCCTGATCTTGAGCAAATTATTTTAATTTAGGTCTCTGTCTCCTTGTATGTAAAGTGGAAACAGTCATTCCTACCTAATGCATGAAATAATACAGGTAAAAGTCCTTTGCATTGTGGCAGCATATAGTACATGCTCAGTAACTGGTAATATAAATAAATATATACACCA